TCGCTGACTTCGCCTCTACCCGCCGCCTTGACTACGCCACCGCTCTGGTCTCTGACCCTGCCTGTCCTCCGTCTGTCGGGGGTGCACCTGCCCTGGGCAGTGACGTCCTGGAGGACCGCCAGTTCGAGCTTGTTTTCCTGTCCGAGGCTGCTCCCCATCTCTGTTTCATGCTGCTAGTCCCTGAGGGTGACCCAGACGCTTTCGACATACCGACCCCTCGCACTTACGCTGAGGCGACCTCGGGAACCTGGGCCTCTCAGTGGATAGCTGCCATGGAGCAGGAGATGGCATCTTGGAGATCCACTAGCACCTTCGTCGACGCAGTTCCCTTACCTGGGGTGAACGTAGTCGATGGCCGCTGGCTCTTCAAGGTGAAGCGCCCTCCTGGAGAGCCGCCTGTGTTCAAGGCGCGCTACGTGGCTAGAGGTTTCAGTCAGCGTGAGGGGGTGGACTTCTTCCAGACCTTCGCTCCGACCCCGAAGATGACTACTCTTCGGGTTCTGCTACACCTAGCAGCTCAGCGTGACTACGAGCTTCACTCCCTTGACTTCTCCACTGCCTTCCTTCAGGGCAGCCTACATGAGCACGTCTACCTGCGTCGCCCTCCTGGGACTCAGTGGCTCCTCCGGCGTCCCGTCTACGACCTGCGGCAGGCTCTCCGTGAGTGGCACGACACGCTGCGTGCTACTCTTGCTGACCTTCAGTTCTTTCCATCCTCGGCAGACCCCTCACTCTTCGTTTGTGCTGGCCAGACTCCGTTCTACATCCTTGTGTACGTGGACGACCTGGTCTTTGCCACAGCAGACAGGGACGCGCTGGCCTCCGTGAAAGCAGAGCTTCTGAAGAGACACACTTGCACTGACCTTGGAGAACTGCGCCGTTACCTTGGCTTGGAGATCTCCAGGGACAGAGCAGCGCGCACCATCACCCTGACTCAGTCACACTTGGTGCGCCAGGTCCTTCAGAGGTTCGGCCTTCAGTTCTCCTCTGCACAGCCCACCCCTCTGCCTGTAGACCACAGACTCTTCGCTCCAGTTCCTGAGGTGTCAGTAGAGCCTAGTGGTCTTTACGCAGAGCTGGTGGGTTGCCTCATGTACCTGATGACTTGCGCTCGCCCTGATCTCGCATACCCTCTCAGCATCCTGTCCCGCTTTGTGGCCACTGGCAGACACCGACCGCAGCACTGGTCTGCTGCTAAGAGGGTTTTGCGTTATCTAGCAAGTACATCGGGCATGGGGTTAGTGCTAGGAGGACGCAGGCCAGTGGTCCTTACTGGACACACAGACGCTTCGTGGGCGGACGACGCGGAGACACTCAGGTCTTCCCAGGGCTACTGCTTCAGCCTTGGTTCAGGTGCCGTCTCGTGGAGAGCTACCCGCTCCTCGTCTGTTGCCCAGTCCAGCTGTGAGGCCGAGATCTACGCTGGTGCCATGGCGGCACAGGAGCTCCGCTGGCTGACTTTCTTGCTCACTGACTTAGGTGAGCGGCCTAGCTCTGCCCCTGTCCTGTACGCTGACAACAGGGCCATGATCCTCCTGTGTCAGGAGCCTCGAATCGAGGGCAGAGCGAAGCATATGCAGCTGCGGTACTTCCTCCTGCGCGAGGTACAGCAGCTGATATCTTTATGAAGGCGCTTGCGCCTAAAGATCATCAGCGGCACTGTGTACAGCTCGGTCTAGTTCCTGTAGCCTCTCACTTGCTAGGACCTTGACCTTGTACTGTCCTATATATCTATATGTATTCAGACAGGACTTCTGTCCTCTGCCAGTGGCTGGACTAGTAGTGCCACCCTGGTCTTGTTCTTGCCTTGCCTTTATTCCTTCTAACTGGTCTTCAGACCCTTGTCTCAGTGGCTGGACTAGTAGTGCCGCCCTGAACTGCTTGTTCTGGACCTGCCGCTATGCAGTCTAGGGGGTGTGTCAAACATGTGTATCTCTTATGTTTGTATAGACTGTATAGGGTCACCTCTTAGAGGGTACAACACTCAGATATATTCACCTGTACTTCCTCTCTCTTATCATTCATTCAGTTTTTGAGACTGTTGCGCACGTTTCGAAATCGGCTGGAAATCGTGCCTGAAATGAACTCCCGCCAGAAACGACAAATAATGGCTGACGAAAAGTAAATACACGACTTCGTCATATTCGGGCAGATTCGTCAATGCCGTGGCAAAAACAGCGAGGCCTCCTACTACTGTAACTCCATTTCTTTTGCCAAGATATTTTGGTTTTCGCTGCGCAGAGCATTTGTCGTGTCAAAGGCTGGACACAAGGCCGAAGCAAACATGCTCTCTGTGGTTGAAAGGTGAACCTCGCAACATCTATATTCCCCGTAACATTTTTCCGAGCATGTACAGAAGACGTAAAAAGCGCATGTTAGGGCAAAATGAACTCGCTGGACACGCCCTAAGTCTTCGTATGACGGTGTGATGAAAGTTCAAAGCCAAGTCTGATTTTCAGATGGCCAAAAATCATAGCAGAGTCTGTCAAACTTGTGTATCTCTTATGTTTGCATAGATTGTATAGGGTCACCTCTTAGAGGGTACAACACTTAGATATATTCACATGTACTCTCTCTCCCTCTCGATCAATCCATTCAGTTTTGAGATGGTATCAGCAGTAGGTAGATCCCCGCCCACCCACGCTTCCGCTCTAGGACCTACCCTCCCGCCCTAGTTGCGCCCGCCTTAGCCGCGCCCGCCCTAGTCGCGCCTTGCGCGCCACCTCCCCTCGGCCCTAGCGCCCGTCCTAGCCGGCCCCGTGCCCGCCCTATCGGCCCCCCCGTGCCCGCCCTCTCGGCCCCACGCCCGTGCCCGCCCTAGCGGCCCCTCGCCCGTGCCCGCCCTAGCACCCGTCCTAGCCGGCCCCATGCCCGCCCTAGCGCCCCGCCCTAGCGACCCCTCGTGCCCGCCCTAGCGCCCGCCCTAGCGGCCCCTCCCGCGCTCGCCCTAGCGGCCCCACGTGCCCGCCCTAGCGGCCCCCGCGCTCGCCCTAGCGGCCCCTCGTGCCCGCCCCAGCGGCCGCCCTAGCGGCCCCCGCGCTACCCTAGCGGCCCCTGCGCTCGTCCTCGTCGGCCCCTGCGCCCGTCCCAGCCGGCCTTGCGCCCGTCCCAGCCGGCCCCGCGCCCGTCCCAGCCGACCCCGCGCCCGTCCCAGCCGGCCCCGCGCCCGTCCCAGCCGACCCCGCGCCCGTCCCAGCCGGCCCCGCGCCCGCCCCGTCGGCCCTGCGCTCGTCCCGCCGGCCTGGTGCCCGCTGCTCCTGGCCCCCGCGCCCGTCCTGCCCCGAGCTGTGTGCGGCCCGCTCGTCGTGCCTGCTCCGGCCCTGCACTCTTCATGGTACGGTTCCCCATCACCTGCACCGCCCTGCATCACATGGTACTGCACTGCACCGCACTGCACCGCCCTGTACAGCACTCCACCGCGCTGCACCGCACTGCACCGCCCTGCACCACACTGTACTGACCTGTACAGCCCTGCACTGCTCCTGATGGCGGCGGAGCTTCGCTTCGACGCTGAAGGCCAGCCTCTGGAGTTCGAGGCGTGGCTCGCCGACCTCCGCCGCCACCTTACTGGCCAGCGGCAGGATGGCCACCCGCTTTCCGCACACCTTGACGGTACGCTCCCCTGCCCAGACCCCCCTGCTGTGCTGTCCGCTAACCCCACACCCGCTGAGCGCGAGTCTACTGCAGCCGCTGCTCTTGCGCGCTCTGTCTGGCTTTCCCGAGACGCTGTCGCCCAACTTGCCATTAGCAATGCCCTTCCTCCATCTGAGCGCCCTCGCTTTAGGTCCATCACTACCGCTCAGGCTTTCTTAGATGCTCTCATCGAGCGCTATTCTACCCCTCCTGCTGCCTCGGTGGGTCGTCTGATCCTTCCGATGCTCTTTCCTAACCTTGCGTCTTTCCCTACTGTCGCTGACCTAGCTGTCCACCTGCGCACGATAGATGAGACCTGGCGCGCCGCCTGCACTGACGCACAGCTTCGAGCCCACCAGCCGCCCATTACCTCTACCCTCTACCTGTTTGCCACCCGCCTCCCTGACCGCCTTGCCGCCGCTCGCGACCGCTTCCTTAGCATTCACCCCGGTGAGCTCACCCTCACAGACTTTGTAGACACCCTGACTGTTATTGAGACCCGCCACCGCTCCATCGCACAGGCGAGCGGTACTGTGCCGGTCCCTATCTTTCAGGGTTGTGCCCCCGCTCAGTGTACCTTCTCCGACGGTTCTGCCGCTGTGGCTGAGACCGCTGCTGCAGCGCTGTTCGTTCGGGGAAGGACCGCCGCCCCAAGGCTGGGCGCGGCGGAGGAGGAGGGGGTGCAGGCGGGGGTGGTGGTGGAGTCGGGTCGTCTGGTGTTGGAGCGGACGAGGGGACCCTGCCCGGTCCAGCTGAGCAGCCGCCTCCGCAGTCGCAGCAGCAGCAGCCGCAGCTGCAGCCGCAGCAGCCGCAGCCGTCGCAGCAGCCGCATCAGCCGCCGCAGACGAGGCAGGCGAGTGTCCTCCCGCCCTGGTGGCCTGGCGCTGGAGGTGGTCGTGCGCGTGGTGGTGTGCCGGCTGGTGGTTCGGGAGGCGTGCGTTGTCAGTACCAGGTCCAGACCGGTCCTCGCCGTGGCTTCGTTTGCGGTAAGCTCGGTCATACCACTCCTCGCTGTTGTCGTCGCCTGGACGACCTGTTTCGTCAGCGCTTCGGCCCGTCGCCAGACCTTCCGGATTGGCACAGTTTGCTTAGTCGTAGGATTCAGATTTTTGACATGGAAATGGATGCCATTGTTTCCGAGTCGAAATTCGTGCTCTGGTCTCTCGCGAGCGCGCGGTTGGCAGCGCTAGAGCAACGAAGCACCCTCGCCAGCCTTGCCGCTATCCCTCACCCGTCAGTGCGCTTCTACTAGAACCCACGTTGGGTCGACGTACCCACGTTGCCACCACTGCGTTAGAGTCGACTCCAACTTTGAAAGCTGCGCGTTTTCGAGTAAAAAAACCTCTCGTTCCGGATCCCCTCGTGTCGAGCTTGCACTCTCGGCCCTCCAGGGCCCAGCTGCCCAAGTCCGCCAGCCGTTACAAGCAAGAAGGTGCTTTTCGCAGCTTCCATGCATACCGGACAACCGTGCCCTTGATTCCCATAATCCCTCTTTGTCGCACTTCCCAGTCCCATCTAACCATCTAACCATCTAACCATCTAACCATCTGGCCGTCTGGCCATCCGGCTACTCTTCTTGATTCCCCGTTGCCACATGCCCGTCCGTTTACGAAAGTAACGCTCCTCGCCTACCATCCGTCGCCCGTCCGCTCGTCACCGCCCGCCAACAACCGTCAACGTCCGTCCGTCGACATCCGTCAACGTCCGTCCACAAGTCCGTCCGTCAACCTCGCGCCCCCAAACCTCCTTACGCGATGCCGTTGATGCTACTAGTAGGCGGGTCGGACCCGGGGGAGGGCTTATCCGCGCGGGAACAGGCCGCGGAGGCGGAGGAGGCGGAGGCGGCGTTCTTGGCGAGACAGGGGGGGGGAAGAGCAGCGCGCGACGCTGTCGCTGTTAATCCAGGGTGTGGTGGGGGAGAGGAGCAGGGGCTGCTACTGGAAGGGGAGAGAGAGTGCGGTGGCTATGGCGGGGCGAGGGACGGCGGAGGGAATGCCTTGGAGGGGGAGGGGGAGGGGGAGGGGAGGGGGAGGAGTGGAGCTCGCAGCAGTGCAGAATTTGCCTTGAGTCTGATGGTAGGATGGGTGCACATGCACATGCACAGGCACATGCACATGCACATGCACATGCACAGGCACATGCACATGCACATGCACAGGCACATGCACATGCACATGCACATGCACATGCACAGGCACATGCACATGCACATGCACAGGCACATGCACATGCACATGCACAGGCACATGCACATGCACATGCACAGGCACATGCACAGGCACATGCACATGCACATGCACATGCACATGCACATGCACAGGCACATGCACATGCACATGCACATGCACAGGCACATGCACATGCACATGCACATGCACAGGCACATGCACATGCACATGCACATGCACAGGCACATGCACATGCACAGGCACATGCACAGGCACATGCACACGCACATGCACATGCACATGCACACGCACATGCACATGCACATGCACATGCACACGCACATGCACAGGCACATGCACATGCACATGCACAGGCACATGCACATGCACATGCATAGGCACATGCACAGGCACATGCACAGGCACATGTGACATGCACATGCACATGCACAGGCACATGCACATGCACATGCACATGCACAGGCACAGGCACATGCACATGCACAGGCACATGCACATGCACATGCACAAGCACAGGCACATGCACACGCACATGCACATGCACATGCACATGCACATGCGCACACGTGCACACACATGCACATACACGCACACACAATCACACACTTGCACACACATGCACACACGTGCCCATGTTCACACATGCACATGCACACACATGCACACACATGCACATACACATACATACACGCACGTGCCCGTGTGCACACATGCTCATGCACATGCACATACACACACATGCAGACACATGCACATGCACACAAATGCACGTGCCCACACATGCACAAGCATCCGTCCCTGCCGCCTCCCTCTGCGTGCCAGGTCGTCGTCTGATCGCGCCGTGTCAGTGCCGCGGCACGCAGAGGTTCGTGCACCGCGCCTGCCTCGATGCCTGGAGGGCCGCCAAGGTGCGCTGGGGTGCATAATGAGTTGCCTCACAAGGTGTGTTTAGTATGTTTTGAGTCTCCTTTCAAGGTGTATTGTGTGTTTTGAGTTGCATCAACAGTTGTATTCGGTGTGGTTTGAGTTACCTCAAAATACATTGCGGGGCGCAGAGGTTCGTGCACCGTGCATGCGATGCATGGAGGGCGGCCAAGGTTGCGGTGAAGCGCGCGCACGTGAGAGCAGGGAGCATGTTGTTTGGTGCGCTTAGGGGTGGTCTGAAGCAAGCCAGCACGGCACAATTAGACACATGCCATTCGGCTTCCCAACCCATCCCTGCCTGCCATTTCCACCCTCATTCCACCTGTGCGGTTGCCCCATCTTTTCGAGAGGCCATTTCCTCGTCTCTCCTACTCCTTGTCTCTCTCCCTGCGCGTGTCGCAATCCCTTGTCTCCTACCCCTGCCCTGCTATCACCTTCCACCTGACCTTCCCCCACCCCTCAAGCAACGGGAAATGCTCTGGCAGGGGAAGGTCTTTAGGTAAACCAGTTGATTGCATATGATACCCAATCCTATCGAAAGTCTATGGGACTAAATGGCATTGGGACTTAGGGCGACTGGCGCACATTCCTCCTGATTCCACTCGCAGAGTTCCCAACACGGCCACACCGAAGCAGCCAATGAAACAGCCGCAAGTTTGACGCGGTGATCCCTTTCAACCTGCCCCCTCCCTCCTGCCACAGGAGGGGTTGGCATTCTCCCGCTGCTCTGAGTGCAAGACTCCCTTCTTCCTCCGCCCTCACTTGGCGCGGGACCGCTCCTGGCACCGACTGCGGTTCAGAGCGGTGCTGCTGAGGGACCATGCTGCACTCTTCACCATCGTTCAGCTGGTATGTGCTCTTACAGCTATTTATAGAGTCCTTGAAAGTGCACCGCACACGCTCGTGCACGTGGTATGCTGGCAACGGCATGCACAGGGCAGGGAAGACGCTTGAACTGAAATGAGGACACAGCTGGCCATCCTTGAACGTTTTTGCTCCCATCACTGCTTGGAATCTAAAATTGGACTGTTGAGTCTTGAATCCTCTCTTTCTCCCTTCCTTCCTCCCTCCCTCCCTCCCTCCATCCTCCCCTCCCTTCCTTGCCTCCTCCCGTACTTCCCCCATCCCCTTCCCCTGCTCATCGACCCCCTTCTGCGTCCCCGGCGGGTGGGCAGCTGGTGGGAGGGTTGGGCGCGCTCACATACCGGGCGTTTGGGCCGCAGCTCAGGGACGCGCTGGGCTTCCAAGACCGCCCCCAAGAGTTCTTCTCCTTCACTGGTCAGCGCCCCTCTCTTCCTGTTCAACGTCTACTCTGTAGGAGGTTGCAGGCACAAGCTTCTGGGTTTCACAGGAGGTGATACAATGGACTAGGAACCACCGACAGCTGAGGGAGAAGCTACAAGTGGTGCTGTACCTGCCCTCTTTGTCTCCTTCCCACTCCCTCTTTTATGCTCAAATCCTGCAAATCCCCTCTCCGCTCTCTTCTTGTTTCCCAGCGACCCTGCTTGCCCTTCTGGGGCTTGTGTACGGGGCTCTCGTGTCAGTGCTGTGCAGCGACTGGATCACAGAGAGGCATGCGCACGTGCTGCACAGACGGCAGCTCACCAAGGTGTGTAATGCTCCCACCACTGCCTGCTCTTGTTCCCCACCACAGCCACCGAGCGCACTAACCCCTTTCTCTTCACATGCGTACTCTAGCCTCCGCGCTCCCTCTCCCTCTCGTCATTCACTCACCCCCACGGCCCTACTCCCTAGAAGATTACCTCGTTCCACTATACCCCCCCCCCCACACGGCCCTACCCCCCTGGTGCAGGAGTTTGTGGTTGTGGATCTGAGCAGGTGCGCCTGTCCCACTCCCCTGCTTCCTGACTTGGCACATGAGCTCGCCTCCCTTGGACTCATGTGACCCGTGATGCAGCAGCAGCAGCAAGTACAGGTGACTAACTTAACTGAAATGCCATATGCGGTTGGCGACTTAATCAGAGCACCAGGCATGCCCACTAGCTGCTCCAGCAAGCATGCACTTGTACAGAAGAGGAAAATTCGAACTTGGGGCAGGCTTGCTCCCTTGATTATTTTCCAACAGAGGAGCAGGAGGGGAGGGGAGGTCCTACACACACAAAGGGATGGTGCTAACTCAGCTCAAAGAGTTGGCAGTAGTGATGTGGCTGGCTGGCTCTCGCTCGCAGCACCATTCTCTATGCCAGGCAGTCATGCTGGCAATGGCATTCCTGGGTCCGTCCGTCCTCGTCATACTTGTGATATATGAAGTTTTGCATTCCTGCAAGTTCCGTTTTTGGTGTAGCTAGCAGTATCGAGTTTCCCAGTAAGCAACCATGCCCGAGTGATGATGTCAGCAAAGCATCGCGGGTCTAGGGAATGACGTCAGCATACCGCTTCAGTTACCGAATAGTAATGAGTCGCTTCAGTCACGCGAACAGTCGCGACCCTATAGTATGACAAATAGGTCGCATAGCGCGCAACTAGCCGAACAGGTACTTCCCTAGAGCTATAAATCCTTGTAATGCCTTTCTATTATTAACCTTGACTTTCCACATAATTATGTGCTCAGGTTGTTCAACCTTCGACCTCCCACAAGTTCATGTGCTCAGGTTCACTCTTATAAGACTTCCGCTGTCTTACTAGTCCACCATTCCAGAATTACGATCCTTACAAGTATTATCGAGTAGTAGAGATACTTGTTAAATTATATATGTTAGTATATAATTGCAGGCTTGGTAGTCTTACTGAACTTTACTGTAGATGGTACAATACCCCTCCTTGTATCCCTCTCTCTTCTATTATGATTCCCTCTTTTCTCTCCTCAACTTTTCTCCTTCCTAAACCTCACGCCACTCCATGGCTCCTCCTAGCTAAACCTCATGCCTTTCCTAGCTTCTTGCTAAGCTAGCCTTCTAACAAAACTACTATACCCAAGGCTTGACTCAAGCAGATTCTATACTTAGTCTCCCTGCAAGTCGAGCACCACCCTTTCAAATTCTTTCAATACTAAGCCTTTCTAGTATGGGGTGGGTTGGGTTGCCTTGTTGCGTTTCTGCCTTAGAAAAAAAGTAGTAGTACAGATTTTCTTTACGTGATCAGAGCAGGCCCTAAGATTGGTTTTTGGGCACATTGATTCATCATTCTAGCCCCGCAGTCTTAGGCTGATTTGTCAGCCCCCCCTATGCAGAAAGGCTGATTTTGTCAGCCTTAGTATGATTTTTTGTCTGAAAATTACAGCCTTGGTGTGAAAATAAACGCTGAAGCAAGAATGGTGTATAAATCATCACACACCTACCGGTATGTCAAACATATGTGTGTATGTTTAGTAGACAACATAGGGTCATCCCATAGAGAGTACTATTAAAATTATATAAGTTATAATTTAATATAGGCTTGGTAGGTTGTTACTAAACCATTCTGTAGAGGGTACAAACCCCTCCTTGTACTCCTCTCTCTTCCTAATCATACACTCTTTTCTCTCGACACTTTTCCTTGCCTCCTAGCTAAACCCCGCCGCCACATTTATGGCGGCCTTGTTCCTGCCTACTGCCTAGTCTTCCTATTTAACATGGTATCAGAGCGGGACGCCCTTCCTGGGCCTGCTCCCCTCCGTGCTTCCGCTGCGTTCTCGTTCACTGCCTTCCAACTTCCTGCCGCCGTGGCAGCTTCTCCGAGATGCCGCGGCGGCTTCCTTTTAGTGCCGCCGTCTCAGCGTCGCCGAGCAGCTGCAGCGAAGATGCCGCGCCGTGGTGGCGCCGTCGAGGTTCCGTGGTGCGTCGTCGGCCTGGTGGTGTCGTAAGGCTGCCGTGGCGGCGTCGTCGGGCGACAGCCTGCCGTGCAACGTCAGTGGCGGCGCCGTACCTGCCGCCCGCTCTACCGCCACCGACGTGATTATGGACTACACCGTGCCCCTCCCCCCCCCCCCTCCTCCCCCTCCTTCCCCTGCATCCCCCCCTTCCTTGTTGCAACCGACGACTGCCTCATGAGGGCCCTCCCCACCGCCGAGGAGACTGGTCATGCCGCCGAGAGGGCGGGGGTCGCTGCACCAGCCTCTGACGTTCAAGCCGCCGCTGCCGCCGCTGTTGCCGCTGGCCGGGTGCCGCCGCCGCCGCCGCTGTCGTCAATGTCGCTGCTGCCGCCATTGCCATCCCACGGGCCGTGGGAGCTGCCCTCTTCTGGAGTCGTTGCGGCTCCTGCCGGGAATGGGGGTGCTGGGCTAGGGGGTGTGGGTGTGGGGGTGTGCGTGGGCTTGACACTACCAAGCCTAGGGGGTGTGTTAAAATTACATAAGTTATAATTTAATATAGGCTTGGTAGGTTGTTACTGAACCATTCTGTAGAGGGTACAAACCCCTCCTTGTACTCCTCTCTCTTCCTAATCATACACTCTTTTCTCTCGACACTTTTCCTTGCCTCCTAGCTAAACCCCGCCGCCACATTTATGGCGGCCTTGTTCCTACCTACTGCCTAGTCTTCCTATTTAACAAGTACAACCCACTAGCTATATACCCTTGTATACTCTCATTCTACTCTTAACAAATTCTAACTCTGAGATGGTATCATGAGTAGGTTAGGACCCCCCCGCCCACCCGCGCTTCCGCCTTCGGTCCTAGCCTGCCCCGTCGCCTAGCACCTAGTCGCCCCACTGGCCCCGCTGCCCCGTGGCCTAGCTAGCCCGTCGGCCCCGTCTCCTAGCGCCTGCTGGCCCCGCGGCCCCATTCCCAAGCGCCTAGCCGCCCCGCTGGCCCCGCGGCCGCGTCACCTAGTGCCTAGCTGCCTCGCTGGCCCCGGGGCCCCGTCACCTAGCGCCTAGCCGCCCGTGGACCCGTCGCCCCGTCACCCAGCGCTTAGCCGCCCCTGTCCCCCGTCGTCTCGTCACCTGGCGCCCAACGGCCCCGTGGCCCCGTCGCCTCGTCGCCTCGCGCCTAGCCGTCCTGTTGGCCCCGCGGCCACGTCGCCCCTAGCGTAGCCGCCCTGCCGCCCCCTCGCCTAGCCGCCCTATCGCCTAGCCGTCCCGTCGCCTAGCCGTCCGGTAGTCGCCCGTAGTTCCACCACTCTCCCCTGTCCGATCGTTCCTTCGGGCTCTCTTACAGGCCTGCACATCCCCTCATTCTCTCAGAATCTAGTTGGTGTCGGCTGTCTTCAGGACCTCGGCATCACCACTACGTTCCCTGGTCATGAGAGGTACGCTGTCTGTACCGAGGCCACCACTGGTGCCCCCCTCACCACATTCCCCCAGGACCTGGCGTCTGGCCTGTTCACGCTGGACACCGCGTCCCCCCCGGTTGGGACGCCCCCCCAAGTGGCAGCGTCTACCCAGGTTGCTGTGGCTTGTTCGTGTCGGTCAGCACTCACCCGTCACTTCTGTGGCACCACCGCCTAGGTCACCCCACCCTCACACGTCTCCGTCACATGTCTCAGCACGGTCTTGTTTTGGTCTCCCTGCATCGTTCCCTGCACTCCCCTCGTCGGCAGCGCCTCCGTGCACCCCCTACGTCGAGGGCCAGCTCCGCCGTGCCCCTCACTCCTCCTCGTTCCCCCCTACCACCGCACCATTACAGACCCTACACATGGACGCCTGGGGCCCCGCCCCCGTCCATGGGCCGCGTCGTGAGCGTTACTTCCTAGTACTTGTCATCGACTACACTCGCTACACCACCGTGTTTCCCCTAGAGCGGAAGCCCAACGTGCCCGACGTTTTTATCCCGTGGCTTCTCTCTGTGCGTGTGCACCGAGGTCTCCCGGTATTGCGTCTTCACTCCGACCGTGGTGGCGAGTTCGCCTCTGGCTTCCTTGGTTGCTTCTATCGTGCGGAGGGCATCACCCAGACGTACACCAGCAGTAGAATGGGGTCGCAGAGCGACGCATCGGCTTGGTCACAGAGGAAGCTCGTACCTCCATGATCCATGCCGGTGCACTCCATTTTCTGTGGCCGTTCGCCATTCGCTACGCCGCCCACCAGATTAACCTGTGGCCGCACCCTCAGCAGCCGCAGGATTCGCTGACCCTCCTCTGGAACGGGTCTCCAGGTGACGCGTCTGCGTTCCACGTCTGAGGCTGCCTTGCTCACGTTCGTGCCTCTGGCACGGACAAGCTCACTACCCGCATCGTTCCCTGTGTCTTCCTAGGTTTCCACCTCAACTTGTCTGACTGGCACTTCTACCACCCGCCGTCTCACAGTTTCTTTCACTCTCGCGACATCACTTTTGACGAGTCCGTCTCCTTCTACCACCACTTTCCCCACCATGGTTGCCCGGTCACTCCCCCCCAGTTCCTGGTTCCCCCCCCTCCCCCGGTCGCCCCTGCTCCTCCCCCTCCTCGCCCTGCCCCGTCTGTTGTGTCTCACGGCACCCCCCTCCCGTCGGTTGTCCCTGCCGAGGAGGCTGTTGACTCTCACGTCTCGGCGGAGTCCCTTCCACCGCCTGTCCCCCCCCCGGTCTCTCCTCCCCTGTCGCCGACGTTGCTGTCACAGCCGCAGCCGCCTCCGCAGCTGCCGTCGCCGCCGCAGCCGCAACCGCCGTCGTCACCGCTGGTGGGGTTTGTGCGTTCAGGGGGTGCTGGGGAGCATGCCGGAGCGGGTACTGGAGCGGGTTCCCGTTCTGGGGGTGCTGGCGTGGGGCTTCTCAGAGGGAGCCATGGTGCCGTAGGAGGTTCAGGTGTTGGCGTCGGGCAGCAGCTGCCGCAGTCGCCGCCGGTGTCCGCTCTTCGCCTCCTTGGCCTCCCTTCCCCTGACCACCCGCCGGTGCCTCCTCGGTCGCCACTACCTCCTCCTCTGCCGGTCTCCAGCGGATTCTTCTCTGGTGCGTTTCACTTCTCGTTCTCCTCCTATGTCTCCTCCCCCCTCTCCTGACCCGACTCCTTCATCTCACGTCTGGGCCCGTCGTCCGTCTCGTGCTCGTCCTACCTTCCCTGTTCCCCGTTCTCACCCTATGTTGCTTCGCTCCCACGCATCTCGTGCTCCTCCGCGCCTCCCGTCTCCTCCTCCTTTGTCGCTCGTTGTGGCCCCGCCTCCGTTTTCTGACTTCCTTCGTGCCACGCGTCCACTTGTTCATCGTGTCCTTGCCTCTTTTGTTACCGACCCATCCGTTCCTGTCTCGAGTCTATCGGCTCTTGTCGCTGCTGTCACTGACTTCGCCGCTACCCGCCGCCTTGACTACGCCACCGCTCTGATCTCTGACCCAGCTTGCCCTCCATCCGTCGAGGTTGTGGCTGCCCTTGGCAGTGACGTCCTAGAGGATAGCCAGTACGAGCTTGCTTTCCTGTCACAGGCCACTCCCCATTTCTGTTCCATGCTGCTAGTCCCTGAGGGTGATCCAGACGCCCTTGACATCCCGACCCCTCGCACCTACGCTGAGGCCACCTCGGGACCGTGGGCCTCTCAGTAAATAGCTGCCATGGAGTAGGAGATGGCATCTTGGAGATCCACCGGTACCTTCGTCGATGCAGTACCCCCACCTGGGGTGAACGTAGTTGATGGCCGATGGCTCTTCAAGGTGAAGCGCCTTCCTGGAGAGCCGCCTGTCTTCAAGGCGCGCTACGTT